AGCCTGGCCCTGGAGCCTGGTTTGGGAAGAACTTAGTGGCGAAGGGCACAGTGTGTCCGTGGGAGCTGGCAAGACCACAGAGCACAAACACTTCTCTGTATCTATGACTATTATTTCTTGTCATTGAAAATAAAAATCACAAATGTTTCACAGGAAGAGAAATAGGATGCTTAGAGACCATGTCCAACGTAGCAGACACTGTTCTAAGTCACTGTGTACATCATACGTTTGGATCCTACAGTGACCCTAAGGAGTGGGTAATGACATCACTGCCATTTACAGATGAGGCAACTGAGTCATAGAGACGAGGAATTTGGGTCACTCTAGCCAGCCTGAAGACAGAGCCTGATTATGTAGAATGGCCTGCAAGTGGCCTTCAGTTTCCACTCTCCCTACTTTGGCAGCTCTGAGTTGCTTGGTATTGTTTTCCTAGTTATTAACAAGCTAGTTATTTCCCAGCTCCTCCAGGGAAAGTCTTGGTTGCTGGACCTCGCAGGAAAAACCCTCGGTCGTGACTAGACCGGGTTTCTCTGTGGAATGTATGCCTCCTGTTCAGTTGAGGACAATGGTCAGTGTTAATGACGCCCGTTTCAATTTGTATAGACATGGTGCTCTCCTCCCATTGGCCAGAAGAAAGAGGCAAATAGCCACGCTGCTCATGGATTGGCTCAACACCAGACAGCACCATTCCCTGTGGATAATTAACACAGATACCTGGACATGGGTTGTATTGTTTTATTTCTATCTATTCATTCATTACTTTTTTTTCTAGTTGCCAGGTGGACTGCGCACTCATGAGAGAGAGAGAGAGAGAGAGGAAGAGAGAGAGAGACCATCTGATGGAGAGTGGCCATGCTATAATCCCTTCTCCTCCATTTCTCCACTCTTTGGGATTTGGAGCACACATACACCTGGCGTATTTTCCAGACTGTGAACCCACCAGAGCTGGTCCTGTGGAATCCAGCTTCCTTAACCACTAGGCCATGGGGCCAGCCCAGACTTTTTATTTTAAAACCATGTTGAACATGTTGTAGGCTTTATCTTTATTTGGGTCAATTATTTTTCCCACCTGTATGCTGGGCATCTAGTGTGATAGAAAGCTCAAAAGCTTTAGGGGTGCAGCCAATGTGAGTTCGAGTCTCATGAAAGCCCCAGATGACACAGTTACTGTGTGGGCATTTTCATTACTGTCCTTTTTTTTTTTTTTTTAATAATTATTTTATTTCTGGGGCTGGCAGGTGGCATAGTGGTTAAGGATACTAGACTCGTGCATGGCTGGCTGCAGTTGTTTTTGTCTTACCTCCTAAACTCTTCCTCACACTGAGACCCTGCGATGCGAGCTTCCCTGGAGACGGCTTTGTTGCTGTTACCAGAATTAATGACATATTTCTCTCTCTCACCAGAGAGAGGCGGAGACAGAGGGAAAGTGTGAAAGCACCACCCACAGAGGATGGTCACATGGCAATCTCTTCTCCTCTATCTCCCTCCTTTCAGGATTTTGGGTACACACGCACACCCCTACCTGGTTTGTTTCTCATGCAGGACTCAAACCATGCAGTTGGCCATGTAGGGTCCAGCTGCCTTCACCACCACACCACCAGATGGTCCTGCCATGTAATATTTTGGAGTAGATTTCATCAACTAGGTTTTTGTGTTGATTACAGATTTTTTTCTATGAGTTGTTAAAAAATATAACATTGTAATAGAAGAAATACTGCACTGAGACATGTCAACTTCCAATGGAGAACACTGATCAGGGAAGCTTCAGTTTTCAATTTATTCAAGGATAAACAACATACATTTTATATTAAATGTCTCATAAGCTAATGGGCTTATAATGATGAAAACATAAAGTCTTCATCTAAAAGGATGTACGCTATGTTACCAAAGATAAGCAAGTTAGCAGTGTTGCGAACAATCACTAAGAGAGGTCCTTGAACAATTTGGGGGATAAAATATATCCCCCCCCCAAAACAAAAAACAAAAAACAAAAAAACCCAGCTATATTTCTAATTCTAGCAATGACTGCATTTTACTCCTTCAGGGATTTAAAAGCATCCATTCTGTAACAAAATGTTATTTATAATATATATATATGATATCTATCTATCTAACATTATATTATATATAGTGGGGGTTTCTAGGGAACCACACAGCAGGAGGTGAGTGACAGGCAAGTGAGGGAAGTCCATCTGCATTTACGACCCCTCGACCCCTCGCCCTCACTCTCATTATCACCTCCTGTCAGGTTAAGGGTGGTATTAGATTCCCAGAGGGGCTTGAACCCTCTTGCGAATTGCTCATGCCAGGGATCTAGATTGAGAGTTCTCATAAATCACCACCTCCTTCTCCCTGGAAAATTTGTCACCCACAAAACTGGTCCCTGGTGCCAAACAGGTTGGGGACTGCTGGTCTAAAGAATACTGACTTAACTGGCCGAACGTAACCTCTGGTTGTTCTCTGCATATCAGTCAAGGTGAATTCTTCACAAGCCCCTTTCCTCACTGGGGACCCATCCAGACCCTGAAAAACTGGAACAAGTTGTTCTTAATAACCTCCATCAGGGCAGGGCTGGAAACGGGGGAGAGGGCAGTGTTCGTGGGCCTCGCTGTGTAGGGCACCGCAGGGTAGTCTGCTTTGGAACGTCCACCACTCCCTGTCTTGTGCCATCCGGAAGCGCCTCTCTGCACAAGCTCTCACCTGCTCTGACCTCTCACTCCTCAAACTGAACTGCCTCAAATGCAAGCTCTCGGGATGACCCTGCAGAACAGGACAGAGACCAGGCTAGCCTGTTCCAGAAAGAGGAAAGGAACATTGCACAAGTCCAGAAGGAAGCAAGGTGCTAGCTGAAAGAGGGCAAAAGATGTAGACACCTTCCAGATCCCCTGGGTGTGTCAGCAACCATGACACAATGCCTGTTTCTGGGTGACTTTGAAGGTTCCTTTCCCAGGAGGTAGGAGAAAATCTCCAAAATAAAATTATTTAATGTTAAACAGTTTATGTATCAATGACCTCTTTCTTACATGAACCTCCAGAGCCAAAACATGAAAAGCACGGATTTGTTCAGGACATTTAGGTAACTCACACATTAAAGTGTTACAATAGTTGGAAATCGTCACAAAGCAGCCATCTATTTCTCATCTTATCTATTCCCTTGGCACCTTCAAGAGATTATTTTCTTTTAGATTTTTTTTTTTTAAAGAGAGATTTTTGCTATCAGGTGCATGCGTTCGCCAGAGGGACAGAGAGACAGAAAGTGAGAAAACACCCTCCAGGGGGAATGGCCATGCCACAATCCCATCTGCTCCATTCTCCTCTTGAGATTTTGGGCATGCACACACTCCCAGTGTGAGTTTTAAGTTGCCGGGTCTGAGACTCAAACCACAGTTGACTACATGGAAGTCCAGCAATGTAACCATTATGTCACTTGGCTGGTACCTCTTAGTGTTTGCTACACAGCATCTGCATGAGAGAGGGAGAGAGAGAGAGAGAGGGAGAGAGAGAGAGAGAGAGAGAGAGAGAGACCGACCACCTCCTGAAGGGATAGCTACACAACAATCCCTTTTTTTATTCTCCTCTCAGGATATTGGACATGCCTACACGTGCACCTGGCATGGTTTTCAAGCTGCCATTTCTGGGACTTGAACTGCAGTGTCAGCCCTATGGGATTCAGCTGTCTTAACCCCCACTCCACTGGCTGGCCCTCTTTAAGTGATTTATTATCTACTTAGAAAATGTATGTGGTGAGACATGAGAAGACCAATGAAGTAGAGCCATGACAAGCCATGGAGAACCCTGGTCCATCCATCTGTCCATCTGGCCTTCCTTCTTTCTTGTCCTCTGACAGAAGGTACACGCACACAACAGAGAAAGCCGGAAAAGGCATCTCCTCTCAAACAGGTCCTGGTCACACCGCAATCCCCTTTCCTCCATGCCTCCTTCTGGTCAGGATTCTGTGTCCATGTGCCTGGTATGTTTTCCAAACTGCTGTGGACTGGGATTCGAACCATGGTCAGCCATATGGGATTCAGCTTCCTACGTGCAGAGCTTAACCACTTTGCGACGGGGCCAGCCTGACTCTAGTCCTTCTTATCCCATCGCTGGCTTCTGTGTTCCATCTTTCGTTGTGCTGTGTATGCCTTCCTCATCTCTCATCTTCATCTCTATCACCCCACAGGAAAAGACATTTAAAATAAGATTCAGAGACCTGCAGATGGTGTGGAAATTGGAGACACTGTATGGTTGGAGTCTTGAACTTAGTGGCTCGAAAATATTGCCAGGCGTATGTGTGCGTGTGTGTGTGTGTGTGTGTGCCCAAAATCCCAAGAGGAGAATGGCAGAGAAGGGACTGCAGCGTGGCCATTCCCTTCCTCCCCCTCTCTCTTTGTCTCTCTCTAGCGAGTACATGTACCCTAGAGCAAAACTATAAATAAATAAATAAGTAAGATTCAGACATTTTGGTGAAAGGGTTTGTTTATCCTGGCAGGTTGCTGATTCCTATGTCTAAGACAAAAGAAAAAGAGGCTTTAAACTGGTACAAAATATCTGGGAAGTTTTCCTAGATGTCAAGTAGCTCTCTCCTTATACCACATAAATGAGTTAAGGTAGAGAAATCAGAAACATGCAGCTTAAATTTCACTTAAAACCCACACGCAACTTTAGAGTGTTGGGAAAAGATGCCTGGGGCCAGACCCGAGGTGGGTTATGAACAGAACTGAGACAGGCAGGGTAAAGACAGAAAAGAATAGGGACAACCAGGGGGTATCCACTCATTCTTTACCAAGGCTCTGGGGTCCTAGGTCCCTCCTAGGATGATTTAAGTCAGACCCTGTATAAAAGAAATTATCCAGGGGCCAGCAGGTGGCGTGGTGGTTGGGGCACTGGACTCCCACCTGGCCTACTGTGGTTTGAGCCCTAGGCCTGGTGGCTAGGTGATTTCTCACTTTCTCTCTCTCTCTGATGAGCATACATGCTCTATAGATAATTTAAAAATATTCATAGTGCTCGCTTTGGCAGCACATAGACTAAAACTGGAACAGAGAAGATTAGCATGGCCCTTGCACAAGGATGACATGCAAATTCATGAAGTGTTCCCTATTTTTTCACAAAAATGAGGGCTCCATGTACCGAAGGGGCTACTGTCAGCAACAGCCTCAGACAGCCTCTGAGCTCTTCCCTCTGTCCTTGTGACCTAGACCACTTAGACCACTCAACCTGGAGTCCCAAGCCACGTCCAGTCATTAAAGCTCTATTTGGGGTTGTTACAATAATAATAAAAATAACAATAATACTAATACTAATGTGGGGCCAATAGGTGGTATAGTGGTTAAGGTGCTGGACTCCCACATGGTCAACCACAGTTCGAATCCCAGGCCCGGCAGCTTGAAACTCCTGACAGGCACATGGGTGTGCATGCCCAAAATCCCAAGAGGAGGATGGAGGAGAAGGGACAGCAGTACGGCCATCCTCCCTAGAGGGTAATTTCTCACTTTCTTTCTCTTTGTCTATTTAATGAGTACACACACCCCATAGCAAAAAATCAGTCTCATAATAATAATAATAGTAATAATAATAAATTAAATTAAATAATTTGTTTTATAAAAGGAATTATCCACGGGAACCAGCAGTTAGGTAATGGCTATGTCGCTGGACTCCCACGTAGTCGACCGCGGTTCGTGTCCCGGACCCGGTGGCTTAAAACTCACGCAGGGTGCGTGTGCGTGCGTGCCCAAGATCCCGAGAGGAGAATGGAGGAGAAGGGATTGCGGTGTGACCATCCCCCCTGGTGGGTGATTTCTCGCTTTCTGTCTCTATATCTCTGTCTGTCTGGCGAGCGCACGCGTCCTACAGTGAAAATCTCTAAAAAAAAAAAAAAAAAAGGAATTATCCAGAAACACACGCCAGAAGGACTTCGGTACACCAGGTTTCCCAAACCCTGTGTGAAGCACAGGGAGACTGTCTCTGGGGACATTCTGGTCACATAGGCAGAGCTAGCTTGAAGGCAGACATATGCTTCTAAGCACCCAGCCTGGTGGCAGTAATTAGCCGAGGGACAGAGCCCGTCTTCACTGGTGTTATGCGAGGATCTCAGAGAATTCTCCTGATAGCCCAGTCTCCCGCTTGGGACTCAAGCCAGGAACCTGAAAGCCAGCCTTCACACCCGCCCACCTCACCTCTCCCAGTCCATCAGCTATTGATTATTGATTTAATCCAGCGGATTCTACTCACTGAAGGTCCCTGCTTCCCTTCATGCTCACTGTCGCTCCTCCAGGTCAGGCCACCGTCACCTCTTACTAGATTGGTGATCTCCCACTCCAACCTTGCTTCCCTTTGGTTCATTTCTACGGACACATGGCGTGAGGTTTCCAGAGCCCACCTGTTCCTAGGATCACCTCCTTGACCCCTCGAGGGTCGCTTAGATATTTGCAAATTCCTCACATGATGGACATAGACCCCAAAGGTCTGGCCCCTTCCTGCTTTTATATCTCTGGACAACCTGTTCCCCCTCTTCACCTCCATTACCCTTCTGTCCCCCAATAGTTGTGAACCATTCTGAACTGCTTATAGCCAGCTCCTAGCTGGGGGAACTTGGGGAAGCCTGTTAACTTCCCTGTGCCTCAGTTTCTTCACGTATAGAATGAGAATAACAGCAGTCGTGCACGGGAGGTTACAGGTGTAGGGTTACTGTAAGCACAGTGCCTGGCGAGGAGCCAGATGTTGACGGACCTCTGTGTACACAGGATCTCGTGCCTCCATCTCCCTGTCACTTCCTCCGCTTCACTCCAGCTCCACCCCTGAGGTCTCAGCTAAACCGTCAACTCCACAATAGCAACTTCTCACCTGGAAACCCACATCTCCCTCTGGCCAGCACCCTCTGCATGGTGCATGGTGCTTTGGTAGTGTGGCGATCGCCATTACTGCAAATGAGCCACCATGGATGTCGTTGTGCTCGTCAGCATCCGTCTATCCCCGCATCAGACTAAGTTCTTGAGAGCAGGGACCATTCCTCGGGTCCCTTGACCGTCTGATATCAATAAATACTAGATGATATGAAAGAAAAAGAAAACGGGCTTACCTAAAGAGATTGTGTCGCTCTCTAAGAGGATGCTTACGGACACAGGGAAGGTTATATATAATGTCTTTTCATAAATTCATACACGATTATTCTTTTTAATTAACTAACTAAATAATTAATTAATTTTTTGCCAGAGGGCACAATTCATACACGATTATTCTTTTTAATTAACTAATTAATTAATTATTTTTTTGTCAGAGGGGACATGCAGGAGAGAAACAGAGAGAGGGAAGGAGAAATCACCTCCCATGGGGGATGGCTATGCCACAGACCCCTTGAGATCTGCTCTTGGGAGTTTGGGCATGCACACACACATGCTTGGCGTGTTTTTCAGGCCACCAGGCCTGGGACTTGAATCTCCAAGTTGGTCATGTGGGATCCAGTGCCTTAACCACTATGCCACCTGCTGGTCTCTGATTATTATTATTATTATTTTTTTGGAGGTTTTTGCTATAGGGCGCGTGCGCTCGACATACAGACAGAGACATAGAGACAGAAAGCGAGAAATCACCCCCCAGGGGGGATGGTCATGCCACAATCCCTTCTCCTCCATTCTCCTCTCAGGATCTTGGGCACACACGCACATGTGCCCGGCGTGAGTTTTAAGCCACCGGGTCCGGGATGTGAACTGCGGTCGACTACATGGGAGTCCAGCGACATAGCCATTACGCCAACTGCTGGTTCCCTGATTATTAGTTTTGATTAGTCAAAGTTAAAACAAGTCTGCAAAGTTGACATTTGATGAAAACCGTTAGCGTCTGAGATATTCTTTGCTCTGGAACGCAGAACGATCAGGCGCTTCAAAGTGTCATTGCAAGGTTGTTGGGCTGTCTGGGTTAGACCTCTGTCCTTGCCTCTTCCCCTCCCTTCCCAACCACTTCCTGCCTCAGTGGGTGTCCTGGAATCCATGCCAACTGTGGCTGGAATGCCAAGGTTCCCACAGCGCCGCTTGCGTTTCTCCTGGGTGCCGAGAGCAGCTGGGAAAATGTGCTCTGCACTTAGGTCTCATGTGGTTGTGGCTGTTTGGACACAGGGTGGTGTCCCAGGGAGGAGGTAGTTTCTCCCGCCCTGGACCAGCTGTGGCAGTATTTGACATGGCTGAAGGATGCCGTCACTCTAGTTGGCCATGGCTCATTAAAATGCCTGGGCTTGCTGGGGACTGGATTTCCAAATCTGAGCTGCTCATGGAGCCACAGGAAAAGATTGGGGTGGGTCTTGTCTTGTCCGTGGTCCTAGGAGGTGGGGAAAGGAGGAAGGTGTGTCCTGCAAAGGGTTGTTTCCTAAAAGTTTGCACCTGGAACTCTCTTCTGGGCACATAGAGTCTGTCATTTCTTCTTTCTTATTCTGTGAGATTTTGTTTTGGTCTTGTTTTGTTTTTCAAATGTTTTTGCCACAGGGCATGTATGCTCGCTGAAAAGAGACAGAGCGGGACAGTGAAAGGCAAAGCGAGAAACTCACACACACAGCGTGAGTTTCAAGCCTCTGTGTCCAGGACTAGAACTGTGGTCAGCCATGTGGGAAGATAGTGCCTGAATCACTACACCACCTGCTGGCCCCATAGTTTGTCATTTTCTTGTATGTGACATGCTACGAATATTGAAGTTAATAATTTTAAAACCTGGGCCAGCAGCTACTGTGGTGGTTAAGGTGCCGACTCACACATGGCCAATCGCGATTCGAGTCCTGGACCTGGCAGCTTGCTTTCTCTCTTTCTTTCTCTTTCTGTTTGGTGAGCATTTGTGCCCTATAGGAAATTTTAAAAAAATTAATAAAGTAATTCTATGTTTTATTTATTTATTGAAGAAGTTTTTTGCTATAGGGCATGTGGGCTTGACAGAAAGACAGAGACAGAAAGACAGAAAGTGAGAAATCACCCCCAGAGGGGATGGCCACACCGCAATCCCTTCTCCTCCATTCTCTTCTCAGGATCTTGGGCACGCATACACACACGTGCCTGGAGTGTGTTTAAGCCACCGGGTCCGGGATTCGAACTGCAGTTGACTACACGAGAGTCCAGCAACACAGCCATTATGCTAACTGCTGGTCCCAAAATAATTCTTTAAAAAATAATTTTTCAACTGATTTTTCTATTTAATAAGTGCTGCATGCCATTTAATGTACAAATGAATGATGTAAGAAAAGCATGATTTGCTGCTTGTTGGTCTCTGAGACCCGAAAGTTGACAACTTCTTTGCGTCCGGGAGGCTGCTCCCGGTGACTCTGCAGCCATCAGCATGCCACAGAACAAATATATTGAATTACATCATAAATGCTATGGATACTGTTTGGATTACTATGAGAAAAAGAGAAAGAAGGAAAGCCGGGAGGCTCATGAACGTTCGAAGAAGGCAAAAAAAGATGACTGGTCTGAAAGCTAAGCTCTGTCATCAACAGCGCCATGCTGAGAAAATACAAATGGACAAGACCATCAGGATGCATGAAAAGAGGAACTCCAAACAGAAGAAGGATGAAAAGGCTCCACGAGGAGCAGCACCTGCCTATCTGTTGGACAGAGAAGGAATGTCCTGAGCTAAAGTACTTTCCAATACGATTAAATGAAAATGCAAAGAGAAAGCTAGAAAACGGGAAGTCCCTCTACCCAAAGTTTGATACCAGGCAGAAACAGAAGTATTAAAAGTTACTCGAACAGGAAAGAGAAAGAAGAAGGCATGGAAGAGGAAGGCTACAAAAATCTGCTTTGCTGGAGATGGCTTTACTCGAAAGCTACCTAAATATGAAAGAGTCATTAGGCCAATGGGCTTACGTTTCAAGGAAGTGCACGTAACACATCCCGAACTGAAAGCCACCGTTTGCCTGCCAATACCTGGTGTAAAGAAGAATCCCTCATCCCCACTGTATACAACTTTGGGTGTCATCACCAAAGGCACCGTCATTGAGCTGAACATGAGCGAGTTGGGCCTTGTGACACAAGGAGGCAAGATTATTTGGGGGAAATATGTCCAAGTTACCATCACTCCTGAAAATGACAGATGCATAAATGCTATCTTACTGGTTTGATAGCAGTTG